TTCAGCTACTTTTCAGTCCAATAACAACCATCACATTACCATCCTCCTGACCCAGCTAGAGATAAAGACATTTTTCCCGTCAGAGTTCTCAGCATTCCTACAATATCATGCCACTGCAGCTTCTCCTCGTTCATTTAATTAGCAAATATGTTGCAAAAAGTTTTAAAGGAGAGAGAACAGCAATAAAATCTGTCTGTAATTTAGTTTTGGTCATTCATCCTGCAAAGATATGTAGAAAGGTAGAGCTGCTATTATCACTTCATGCCATCTAGAAGACACAAATCTACTAGTTAACAACGCTTTCCCAGGACAGATATGTAGGTGTCAATTATCCATCTTAACAACATCTTTTCACAAATGGAAATAAAGCCTTTGCTGACAATTTCACAAAGCACTGAATCGTCACTTTTTCTACAGTATATCTTGTGCTGTGGGCCAGGAGATGTTAGCACTTTACTCAAGTTTTGTGGTGCTAAACAGTGACATTCGGTGTGTTCTCATGAAATAAGGAGTCACAATGGGCACCAAAATTAAAATGGCACCAATGGATATTGGGCATTTAATGTCATGCAATGTGTATTTCAAGGCATCCCCCTTCAGGGACGCAAAATAAGAGAGGAGAGAATGGAAATTTATAGAATTCCCTGGGTGCCTGATTTACCACTGCTGCAGCAGAGGGAACTGCAGCTGAAATTTAACATCAGGAGAAAGCAGGTTTCAGAATATGCAGCACTGCTGTCAGCATGGCAGTTATTATTCATCTGAGATGTCACCTGTGTTAAAGACGTCTAAGGAGGGAAAGGGTGTTTGTAAATTGTATTTTGAATGTGTGAACCAAGATGGGATGTAAAATGAAGGGTAGGTTTACTGCTACTGAACTTTAACATCGGGTGAAGAAATCAGCAAACATACTTCTGAACAGCATTCACAGTCTTCTTCCAGCCAAATCATCCTTCACCTTATTCGATAAGTGAAGCACAGTGTGACCTCAACACATGAAAAATCCCTCACATTCTGCACTAGTGAGAGAAGCACAAATACTTTGCTCAAGTTCAAAATGTTCTCCAAATGACACATCTTTGCCTCGGTTCACCTTCTCACTGACAATATATTGTATACACAATTGTGTCACAGGTAAAATCCACTTTGCCCTTTGTCTGAGCAACTGATATGGTAAGGGAACTTAATCTAACTGTCATATTCTCTGTTATTCATCGGTGTGACCACCATCACGGGTGCCCTGAACAGCTTAATGAGTCCAGCAAAGGTAAACAGTTTGATGACCAGAGTTTATGTTTCAGCTCCTGGTGACCTACAGCAATGTAGATTCATTCAACAGGAACCAGTGTGACTTTGGAAACTCCTGATGAACAATGAAACAAATCATATTAGCCTACCCTGTACAAAATTTGGCGGTGTAGCGGATTCATTTTTAAATTCATCTGCTGATCTGTCCACCCAAATAAGTACATTAGCCACCTCTAATATGGTTGGTTTCCATTAAAAAAAAAAAAAACCTGGGTGCACAGCCAGCAGGGATATTTGGCTGCAACAGAAAGTATTTCTCAATTAGCTCCCATTCACATTGAGGCTAATTATATACACATGCCTGGGCTGAGAAGCTCACACCACATTCTGGCATGCTATAAATCCACCCATTTGAGCCAACAACATACCACTTTTCCCTCTATTCAATCAAGCATTATTGTAAATACAGATGTTTAGCCACGTTAAATGTGTTGTCTAGCTTCTGGCAAACCAAGGAAAACTATGAAGGCAGTCAGTGTAATAATTCTTCCTTTTCCTCTTTTGCACATATCACACAGATAGACCCCAGGTGATGCTCAAACACCTGCCCTTTCACCTTCTGACTTGTGCCCTTTTTCTATTTTAGATTTTTAAACACTTTGCATTTGTGGTTCATTGCATAAACTTTCAACTAAACACATGCTCCGACAACAGTAACTATTAGACTGAATTATTATTAAAGGCATATTAGGCTGTTAGCTCATACAGTATGCCTGTGCTAATGATAAAACGAGGGGCCACTCAGTCTCTGGAGGCTTTATTTCACCTTAAGGCCAGACAGTCACACTGAGACATCACAGTGACAGATTTATTGTCCAATCAGGACACCCCCACTGCACTAACATAACCCCCTAGTGGTAATCCTGGATCATGGACAGGGTTTGTGTGTGTGTGTGTGCGCGTGTCACTGTGGGTATTTGTATATGAACAACAGCAAGTTTAGAAAAGGTGCTAAATATCAGGCATGAGTTCAGAGGTCATTCCTTCCTGCAGCATCATCACAGTAGGTCAACCTGGTGATTTGGTTTTTTCCTTTTTAACAACATAAGGCATTGGCTTAGTTATTGTAATTTGTTACACATCTCAGAACAGCACATTGTTGCTAATATGGTTTTTTCCCCCCCACTTGTTCAATGCATAGCAACATCTATGCATATCTGTGGACAAGAGATATGGTAAGTTGAACATTTCATTCTAAGTAGCCAAAAATAATATGCCAGTTTCCCTGGGGCATGTTTCACTTGTATGTTTTGTTTTACCACTTCTTGTGTAAAGAAATAATCAAACACCAAAGCTAAACTTCATTTTGACAGATTTCATGGGATGTTTTACTCTTGCAGATAAGCCTCTTTTTGACCTTCAATTGGAGATTTAGGATCAGAAGGCATGTATGTTTCTGCTATAAAATTGCCTAGTGCAGCTTTATTTTTTTATTTTTTTATTCTGGGCTTGCAAGGCTACAGGACAGCCACGCAGCACGTAATGGAACAGATGTGTCAGAGACTAGACCTGGCAGAAGGTACACAAATCCAAAATTGTTAATTATGAAAATAAAAACTATTTAAAAATGCTGATGCTATTCCCATACTAAAATAAGCCAATAAAATAAGGCTGGATGATAATAAAAAAGTGGGACAAAGAACAGTTAGTTCTACGAACAAGTAAAAGGTTCGCACCAAAGCCAGTGAATGTAGCCACTCTTGAAAATGTTTTAGCACAACTTTAAAAAAGTTTAAAAACAAACAGGCTGTTCGTGAAGTTTCACTGACTGAAACAAAACATATAAGGCAATATTCAAGAACACTAACAAAAAAATAAAAAGCTAATCAAATTACTAAAAATGACACATTTTGACAAAATACAAAAACTAGATCAATATCAGGTGGAAGAATTGTAAGAACTTTCACAACAATCTTTGATACATCTGATGAAAGATGATGGTGACCACAACTGTGATGAAAATACTGGTCGCAACAACATTTGTTTTTGGTTAAATATGTGTTGGTGTTCAGAACTGAGACCCCACAACAATATAACTGACGCAGCCAGTGATGTCACAGGTGAACATTACTACATGCATATCATTTCAAGGCCTGTTTTGTTATCTGACTGGTCAAAGTCACATAACCTGTCAAGGAAAGGCAAACACATACAAGCACCTTGTGAATATAAGCCTTTCACTATAAAATGGGACCTTTACACATGCACCCATTTGAGCAAGTGGCATGTGCATACTCAAACCTATAACATACACACTCACACATACGTTATGTCCAAAAAAAACCCCACTTTATACAAAACATTATACTGTATAAGACAGCATGGTGGGTGTCCTGAACTGTGCAGGCCCTGCTGACAGCAAAGGAACGGCTCACCTGATGCCCAGCCACCTGCCATCTGTCTGCTGAGTAACACCATTTGTCTGCTATACTACAGGGAAGAGCATGAATACACCTGTCAAATATAAACACACAACGTCACAGGTTCCAACTACAAATAGATTGTGTGCCTCTCTGGGTAGGTGACACTATTTTAAGTGCTCAACCAAGGAACACAAGGAGGATTCAGTACAAACATGGAGGTAAAAGCAAGATTCGCCTGAATGTAATACAATCCGCTGTGACAGCAGGTGATTTAACATAATCAGTCTTTTGACAACAGATGAAAACAACAGTGACCTCTCCCACACTGAGGGTCCAGTGGCCAACTGGTTAATTGTGTGCTGAACAATTCTGCAGCTCCTATCAACTGCAAACAATTCAATCCATTTTACTGTTATTCCCATTCACAGTCCTATGCACAAACCGGAGCTGACAGTAAACTATATCCCCATTTTGATACTGTAAGATGAAGTTATGAAGGTTCAAAACAGACATTTATAATTTTGATACTATAAGACGAGGTTATGAAGGTTCAAAACAGACATTTATGCAAAGAAGCCCCAGCTGCTCATCAGACACTTCATTCTAATTTGGTTCGTTTTCACTACACGAAAACGGTTCATCTCTCCATGATCAGTTCTTATATAAAGGCCAAAGCTGCACATGTACTGCACAGTTTGGTGAGTATGAAGACAGGCTGCACTGAATTCAATTCAAGGCTGCCCTATACTGCTCATCAAGGCTTCAGTGATGGATATGGGAATCCGGTCTTTCCATGATCTGGAAGGCAGCAATGCGCCTTGCATGTCTAAGGGGCTGGTTGTGGAGGAATAGTCAGGCTCTAATGTTGGGGGACGGGCATGGGCCAACATTTTTTTTGCTGGACAGAGGACACATTCGCTCGGCAGCGGAGGTGATACATTTGCACTAATCCTCGTTTTCTGTTTTCAACTGGGGTTGCAAGGCACCGAGGTAGCTCCTATGTTCAAAAATCATATTTGTAAGAGCGTAAATAAGCAGTGGATGGCGGTCACTGTTGCTGGTAGAGACAGGTGTCTGTCTAAATACCGATATCGAATCTTTACAGTCGTTAAAACACTATGCTCCACACATTCTCCCAGAATCCGCGATGAAATCTGTACCATCCATAAACCAGTTTTCATTACGCGCTTGGATACATTTGATCAAACCAGAGCACTGCGTTGTGGCTTCCTTAAGGTCCGAACTTCCCCCAGCAACAGACAATAGCTACACAGTCTCATTTCCTCTTATTTATCCCCCACAGCATCTGCAAGCAGCACGCACACTTACCGCGATGGGATGAAGCAATATTCCAGAGAAAGGGCAAATCCATGAAAAGAAGATAGGAGAAAAGGGCAAAAGGAACCCGTGAGCAGTTCCACTACTACTAGTACTACTACTCCATCGGATCAGCAAAGCCGCCGCTCTCGGTTTGTGATAGAGATCACGCTGCGTGCGAACGCATGAGGATGGATGCTGTGCCTCGTCGGGGGGCGGAGACAAGACGCGCACTCGGGTCCAGCGGAGCCTCCTTAATTCAGTGCAGGGACCTTAGCGAGTCGGTTGTGCAGACTGCATATTCCCAGCCCATAAATTTTTTCTGTAGACTTGCTCGTCTTACTGGGACACGCCCGTTTGTGACCTCACCTTGGTCCAGAGTTCCACATTTACAGAGCTTCTCATGTGCTTAGTTTGGGTGAATGATTTGATTGTGGATGTTGCTACTGATGGACATATATATATATATCAGCACAACATGTCTACATAAATACATAAAAATTAATTTATTTCACAAAATAAAACCAATATTCCTCAAGTCGAAAGATGGAATTATGTGAAACTGCCAAGAATCACAGTCAAGATTACACAATTAAATGTGCATTTTGCCTCCCAGTCTTAGGTTTAAATAAATGACACAAAACAACTGCAGTGCCCTGCATGGATGATGTGCCAAAAAATCAACATGTTGATATTAATAAAGGTTTTATTAGCTGGTTTTATTGATTGATACTTAGATATAGCTGCCCAGCTAAACAGGGCAATAATCATTAAAATGTTGAAGACATCTGGAAAGTCTGAACCAAGTGCAGTTCCTCTGATAGCCACTAGATGTTGGCCCCAGGACAATTCACTCTACTGAACAGTTTTCCATAAGATATTGACACTCAAAAGCTAATGTCAACATGTTTTCATGTTGTTGTTTTTTACATGAATCCATGCAGCTATTCATTTACATTAGATGTTTCACACTCACATTTTTATTTGATTGGTAAGTTGCTCTGTCTGTCAGTCTATCCCACTTAGTGGTTATTAGCTAGGTTAGGATTTAAGGCCTATTCCCAGTGAAACTAGCCCCCTTTTCTTCATCCTGTTGCCTGTCTGCTTTATTGCAAAATATATCTTGTCTCAGAGGAAAGTCTAAACCTACAGTCCAACCTCAGAGACCTGACTAGTTGTAACATTAGCACTGTGAGTGCACCACTGCTAAAACTGGGACAGATATGTTGACGTGAAGCCTGGTTGCCCACAAGAAATTACTAAAGAAACACTGGTGTGTTCAGTGATCTGGATTCAGAGAGCACGCTTCATTACAGTCTGTGCTCAGGCGCAATCTTCAATTATCAATAGTGCTCATGTGGCCTGCAGATGTGATTTTTAAGTTTGGTGTTAAATTTGGGGTGTTATTCTGGGATCCAAATGGGGACATGTCAGACTCAGGACCAGAGAGATTCTGGGTATGAATCCCCAGATTGTAAGAGGGATAAAATTGGCCTGGGAGAATCAGGAGAACCAAATTCTCATCTAAATCATTTCCAAGGTAATCTTGAGCAAGGCATTTTACATCTTAGAGTTCAGGCAACAGCTGTTGATTGGTTAGTGCCCAAGGACACTTCGACATGTGGACTGCAGGCACCGAGATTCCAACCTCCAATCCTCTGGTTGGGAGACAACCGCTTTACCTCACATCTCATCCTGTTGACTTGTCTAAAATACAACCAAAACCAGGTTCTGTTTCTAACTCATTATGTACTGTGTGTGCTGAATGCTGAATCATTACTGCAAGCTGGTATATTGATATATGGCTGTGGCTCATGAGGTAGGGCAGAGTTGGTGGTTCGACTCCCGGTCTCCCCGCATGCCTAAGTGTCCCTGAGCAAGACACTGAACCCCGAATTGCTCCCGGTGGCTTGATTAGCGCTGTTGTGTGGCAGCTGTCGTCATCGGTGTGTGAATGTGTGTGTGAATGGGTGAATGGTGGTATGATCTCCCTGTAAAGCGCTCTGGAAAAAAGTGCTATATAAATACAGTCCATTTACCATATCATGTTGATATATAGAATCGAGGTCAGCGGTCAGTGAATGCTCTGTTGATATGTCCAGTGTCAACATTTTGCAACTTGGCAAATACATTCATTATGTTAACAGCAAACATAACAAACATAATGTATTTGCTATTGTAAATTGGACATACTAATGCACCCAAGGCTTACAGTAGACTAATAACAGGACCTTATCCAGTGAATGGATGAATTTCATTCGGGCCCAGCTGATGAACTTGTGAAGACCTGCACCCTAGGGCATGGTGCATTTAGCAAAATTTTATCCAGTTGATAATGTGATAAGATCTCTCTTCATTTTCTTAGTCCTGACAACTTTGTTCTGCATTTCTGAGTCAGCTACTCTAACATAAAATCAATCACTTCTTTTTCATTAGACCTTTATAATATAAAGTAACTCTTGGCCGTAATCTTCTGCATGTCAGCACTGTTGCTCTATGAGAAGGAGCAGTATTGACATTACTATAGTGCAGGAATCCAAATTCACTTTATTAATATCTCAGTCTCATCAAGGAGAAAAACTATTTTGCAAAGCTCTGGTTCCCAAGGTTCTCCCACAGGAATGTCTGCCACAAGAGAGAGATTCATCAAGCTGTATAAATATTGTATAAATATTTTGATGGCACGCTTCGCATAAACTGTTTACACACTGAAATGTGTTGTTCATGTAGGCTGAACTACAGAAGGCATTATACTGTAAATGTGATATATGGTTGGTCATTTTGCCAGAGGATGATGATTACTTAAATCATATAAATGGACAAACAGTGTTAAGATTATGTGAATTAAAGATTTGTTCCCCCTTGTGCCAGATGTTTCAGCATTTACAGCGTTTCTGGAGCGGAGTCTTGAGTGTAAAAGGACAAGATGAGAACCAGTTAGCTGCAGTCCTGGGAGGGTTGAAAAGGCTTGTTGACAAGCAAGAGGTTAGATGAGAGTTATTCACACAAAGAGCTGAGCCACAAGGACTGGTCAGTGCACTGGTGGAAAGCACAAGGGCATTTTAGTGCATCTTGACTTTTCAGACCAAGGTCCTTCCTTCCTATTGTTACATGATGATAGCAGGGTGATAGTTTGATCAAAAAAATATGAATCTGTTGATCTATTTTGGATTTTTGGTCTTGGGACTATTTACATATATTAGTTTAATTTAGAGTAACTGTATTTTATGTGTCATTATCCCCTTAAATCTTTCTTTATAATTGCCCCCTTAAATTGAACTAAATATTAAACTGAGCAATATTTGCAGAAGTATTTGCAGGTCCGTGCTATGGATCAATATGCACTTTTGCTACGCAGACTACACAAGCACAAGAGGAATATCAGCTTTCACTACATCCCATAGTGTGTGGCTTGTCATTTTATACACTGTATGTCTGGCATTATTCTCTCCATCTGCCAAAGAAGCTCCACACAGACTCAGCAACACAGTGTAGTGTTTCACTAGTATAATAATGGGTACTGGAACAAAAGCATATTGAATGTGTAGATTATTTTATTAATAAACACACCTACTGATGCATAATTAATAAATAAATACAGTCTATTCAGACCACAGTCTAAAGTGAAATATTTATTATGATGGGGTTGCAGTATACCCAACTCTTTAATCTGCCAACTCCTCAGCTGTTACTTTCTCCAGATTCACAGCCTTTTGTGAAATGACCTCAGTTGCTCAAAATGTATTTTTTATTTTACATGCATGTGAAATGAACAAGAACTGCTTGACATCCAGGAAAGGACAACAGTAAAAAGCAGGTCTGCAGAAACAATTACTGAGAAAGTGGTGTAATTATGTTGTATGCACATAAGGGCTGTTGGAAAACAGTAGCATTGGAAAATGCTGCCACACATTTATTTAAATAGGAAATGTTTCTTTCCATTTTCTTGGACACCAGTAGGGGTAAACCATCACCTCCAGCCAAAATCTATCTAAACAAAGTAGAGTTTAAGTACTACTATGTGCTACCTAATACCTTCAAATTCATTGATATTATGTCAAGATTTCAAGCTGTAATTTGCCTAAAAATAATTTAAAGTGCTGTGTTGTTTTCATACTATTGCCATACTGGTGCTACATATAGCAGCAGAAATCATCTTTACACTGTAAATGTCACACTGTGTATTCTGCACATTTCACCACATTTTGTGAGATGATAGTCACACTCCAGATTTCCCTCTTCAGCAGTCTGCCAACTGTCATGACTTCTCTCTCCAGCACTCAGTTAAGTGCCTCAGTGGGTTTCAAAAGGCTCTTTCTCACTGTATCTCCTTCTGTACTGTCTCTGAATAAGTGGATGAATTTGTGCAACTATCTACTTATTGATGGAGCTTCAGAGTCACTCTGAGACTGCTGCGTGTACAGGCCTGTGTTTTGTATGTGCAACTACGGCCTCATTATTCAAGAAGCTTATTGATCGGAGGGTGTTTGGTTTCTCAGGGGCTCCTAAGCGGTGGCTCCGTTTCCATGGTAATGTTACAGGCTGGCTGCAAACCATCGGCCTTGGCTGTGATCAGTGTTGCTGGAGGGATTTCACCAAGGCTATACACACACGCACACACATATACACACAGCCTAAAGACCAGACAATAGGGAGGTTTCAAATGCACTACTGTCTGTTTCCAGTGCTACCCAAAGATTCTCTTGTTCATTTCCACTGGAAGCAGTTTACAATAAGAAAACACAGTACCCCTTTACAGTGGTCTCACTCCATTTTATTATTGTTAACTATATAGCCTATTGCCTGTGTTTTAAACACAGTAGCTTTTCATAAATATTCTTTTTATAAAGTTTTATGGAATTAATGTCACTAGCAAAATTGGCATGGTGTAGCTTTTTTATGATTTGTTTTGTTAGGACAGAAATACATGTTGGTATGTGTACACAACTAAAATGTACATATCCAAATATTATATGAACACTACAAACCAGCTGAACTGACTTTGATCACATTCTGAGTCAGTCTGTTGACCAAACTAATAAAACTTTTCATTCAGCTTTAATTAATTTATTTGTTTTGTTACCATAAATACTTTTGAGGCTGCAGAGTTTGTGCTATCAGAGTAAATGTGCAGCTATAATATGACTGAAGAAAAATGAGACTGTCACACTGAAACTGAATTATAAAATCTTGGAAAAAACTCTAAAGAATACTTGAAATATTTCGACCTACATCTTTATTGTCAGGTTAATCTATGTTCAAATATCTAAGCTGTATATAGTGACAAAATTTCTTACAGCTGAAACAGGGACAATAATTTCATAGAAG